GAAGAGCTCGTTTTCCGGTGCGTTCGGATCAGGCGTTACAGGCGTTGGTCGCGCGCAATGCATCATTGGCACTGGCACTTCAAGCGCGGCGCACGGCTCTACTCGATCCCCCGCTCGCACCCGCCCACCCACTCAGCAGAGGATTCGCCCCCCCCCCCCCCCCCGCTTGCCGTGCTGAGCAGAAGGGCGGGGGACGGTGGCTCTGTGGGCAGAGTGCCCTGGGGAGGCTGGAGGTCGCCTTCGCAGCGGCCTCTGGGCTGGCACCGCGGTTGGAGTTTGCCCACGGGTTCGCCTGAAGCGATGACAGTCCGACACAATGCGTTACACAAAGAGACTGCGCCACCTCTTACCCCCAACTCGAGAGCGGACGTCAAATCGCAAAGGCGACCGCGACGCCCGACAACACGTTTACCTCGGCGGCCCACTTGGCCGCAAAGGCTACATGTCTGGACTGTAGAGTGTTGATCTGCTGTCGTGTTTCACTGCAGCGCGTATTGAACGTTCAGGTACGTTGCGGTTGATCGTTGTGTGCTTGTGTTTGTGATGGCCTTCACAATGACCGATGCAATTTGGCGTTGCAGCGCAGTGCGCCTCTTTCGGTGGTCCCGTGAGCACCGACAGCTTCGCCCGAGCTTCTGCAAGCTCAGGATCGAGGGCAGAGGTTCGCGCTTCTGCGAGACGGGCGTCGAATCCCTCCGGACTCACTTGAGAAAATGAGCTCCGACTGCCGATGTCCGCGCGCGCTGGGGCTGCCCCAGACGCGTCAGTCTTCAAGGGAGTTTCTGGTAACAAGAATCAGAAACCGTGTGCCATTCCGGCAGCCGACAGCAAAAACAAGCAGGGAGCGGCATGGCACGGTCGATTTCTTATCCATACTGGAGGAGGACGGGGAGGAGGGGGAATAATTGAGGGGGTGGAAAATCGGGAAGGGTTGAGGGAGAAGATGATGACGAGGATGAGCTCTGTACGCGTGTGAGTATATCACGTGGATAACGCGGTGCCTGGGCCTAGTGAGCGGCAGGCGCACAGTAAGAAGAGATACACATGCCTGCGCGGAGGCTTACTGCCCCAATCTGCAGGTGCGATCCTTGCGACGCTTGCGATCGCCGTCCGTGTGCGACAGTAGCTGAAAACGCCACTTGCGGGGCACGGCGAAACCGAATGCGAAGGATCCGCGCCTCGCTGAGCACGCTCTTCGCTTCGCTCCGTCCACGCCCTGCGAAAGTCGGGCGGCCCTCTGGAATTGCGTTGCTCTCGCTGACTCTCTCTCTCTCTCTCCAATTGTTCTTGTCCTCTCTCTCTCACTCCCTTTTTTTTTTTCTCTCTCTCTCTCTCTATCCCTCTCTCTCTCTCTCTCTCTTCTGCGCACCGCTTGACGCACCGCGCGAGTCACCGCGGGGCGCGCCGACCGCCGCCGAAGAAGGCGACGGCACCCCACAGAAAGTCACAGGCGTTTCCAAGCGTCAAGAGCTGGCGGCTGCACCTGGCCGGCTGCCGTCCGCAGAAGGCGGCGTGGCCGGCCCCCCAGGCAGGAATGGGCGACGGGCGGGAAGGGGGGGGGGGGCAGAGGGCCCCAGAGAAGCGTGCCCGCGGCGCGGTGGAAGACCCCCAGCCCTGCCCGGCCGCCAGGACGGCGGCTGGACAGAGCTGGGGAGGGCGGGGACCGCAGCGCGACCGCCCCGGGGTGGGGGAGCACCCGCCCCCGAACCCCTCCAGCCACCCCGGGCCCGCCAGGCCTTCCCCGCACCCACGCCGCCGGCGGCAGGACCGAGGGGAGCATGAGGCGGCCGCCGAGGCGGGCGCCCGCCGAGGCGGGCGCCCGCCGAGGCGAAACGCCGCGCGGCTGATAGGGGGCCCGAAAGGGGAGCCACCCCGACCTGCCTTTTACCCTGAAGGGGGAGGCCAAGAGGCACGCCCACCCGGAGCCCCGAACCCCAGGCCCCCCCGCCGCCCCCTGCCCCGGCACGGGGCTCTGTATCCCGAGCCGCCTCCAGCGGCAAGGCACCGACCTCCCGCCAGCTCCACTGGCAGGGGTGTTCCGGCAATCCCCCAGTCGTTGAGGGGGGCGCCCGCTCCACGGGGAGGGGCAACTCTCTCGCCCCCTCTCTCTCTCTCTCTCTCTCCCTGCCCCCCGCTACAGTAGCCCCCCCCCCCGCCCGTCAAAACTTGTGGCGTTGTGCGGTCGTCGGGGCCGCCCTGCAGAAGGGTCCGCGTCAACGCCTCGCCCCATACTGGCGCTGCGTTGCGCATTCAAAGAGGCACCGCGGCGCTCAGGCGTGCACTGGAGGTGTCCCCGCACAGGAGGAGGACTGGCGAGCGGCCTTTCGATCCTCTCTCGCGCTGGCCCTCCTGACTCAGGAAAGGCGCGCGTTGTCGCACGTTGTCTTTAACGGGCGCGCTAAGCCAATGGCGTCTCTGGAACTGGCCCGCTTGGCTCGCAAAAAACAGCTCTTCCATGCTGAAGGCCGACTCGAACATAAAAAAGCAAGGTGCTCGAAGCCCGAAGGCATTGACTCCTCCCCCCCAACCCCAACTTCGAGCTCGGGTCAGACCTCGTCGCGCCTTCGCTGTCTATCGCTCATGGTCCATCGTCGGCGCTCAACTTCTCGAGCCGCTCACCGGCGTTGACCCTCGTGGGCCTGATCCGCCTCGTGGGCGCGGGGAAAGGCACCTGGCTGCCGAGGGCGAAGGCAGCCGGCTTCCAGGCCTCGGAGATGGACTTCCTCATGGCAGCCATTTTGCGATAGGCGCTGATGTTGCTTTTGAAGCCCTGCCGGCTGCTCTGGCAAACGGTGCACGTCTTCATGCTCTTCGTGGGCCACGCCTGGAAGCCGTCGAAGACACGCAAGAGGCGGATGGCGATCCTAGGGCTTAGGAGCGTTGGCGAATGCGTGTGCTGAGAAAAATGCCAAGCCACTGAAAGGGAAATCGGTTGGCTGAGCCTGCCTCAGTGCGTAGCCCAGCGTCTGGCGAATGCGTAGCCGAGCGTTTGGCTCGTTTCGAAATCTCTGGGCCAGTAGACCAGGTCGAACTCCCCTCGGGAGCCGTGAGAATTCAGGAGGTCCACGAAGACGTCTCGCGAGAGAAGGTACGGCACGTTGCGGAACATCGCAGTGGTGCGCCACTCGGCATCTGCAGGCGACGGTAACTCAGGCGCCGCCTCGAGTCCCGCCAGCGGGGGCGACAACGCTGACGCCGACGACGAGGCCCTGAGCTCTGGATGGGCGCCACTTTCTTCTACCTGCTCCGAGAGGTGCAGGAAAGTGTTCCAGACGACCAGCGCCCCGACCAGGTCCGTGGGCCCCGGCGGCTCCCGCGGGCAGCGCGCCGGCTGGCGAGCGCTTGGAAGCGCTTGGGAGCACCTGGGAGCGCCCCGGGAGCGCTTGGGATCGCCTGGGGGCGCCAGGGAGCGCTTGAGAGCACCTGGGAGCGGTGAGCGCCCGACAGCGCCGGGGGAGCGCCGGGGGAGCGCTTCGGCGCGCCTCTGGGGCGCCTGGGAGCGCTCGGGAGCGCCTGGGAAGCCTGCGGCGGGGCGCGCGCAGCGGCGGGGGGCAACCCTCGGCGCTTCGGCGGGGCCGTGGGCGCAGCCGCCGTCGGCCGTGGCCCAGCGGCTCGCAGCGGAGAGGCGCCTCGCTTTCTGGGCAGACGGTGATGGTCTGATCCCTGGGGGCCTTGAGCTTGGCTTGCGACGGCGCCAAGCAGGGCTTGACCTAAACGTTGATTTTCGTTATGCTGTTCGTTTTGCTCTCCTCGTTTTCCTGTACCTCCCCGCCAAAACGAAGAGCAAAACGCAACCGAAATCCAGCAAAACAGCGTTTAGGTCCAGCCCTGGCGCCAAGGCAGGGGGTAATGTGTGCATTCACTGATGTTGAGAGGCAAGGCAGGGTTGGTGGGCAGGGAGGGCGGGGAAGGCAGGAAGCAGGGAGAGGAGGAGCAACAAAAGTAGCCCCCCCAAAGGCAGGGTTGCACTGCAAGGCCTTCTGCCCCCGTCGGCTGCCGAAACCTGGCCCGGCTACCTCCAAACTGGGCTCGGAGCGCTGTCGGCGCCACCGCGGGGGAGGCCGGCGGAACGAAAAGAGGGGGCGCCAGCCGAGAGTGTCAGAGATCCCACGTCTCAAGAAGTCGGAAGCCTTCCTCTGCCCTGCGCCGTATGAAGGGCAACGTCAGGGTGGACCTGTTCGCCGGGATGTGTGGGGGGGAGCCACCGAGCTGGAATTAGCGACACGGTCCTGGGCGGGGAGGGGCTATCGGGCGACTCCGCACGCTCCTGGGCGGGGAGGGGCTATCGGGCCCCAGTCGGCGATCAATGGGCAGCTGGGGGTCGAGGCGTCCCCTCTGAGCCCATCCCTCCCCTAGCGTTGTGTTGTTCTCATCCTGCTTAAGGACCGCATCCCAGAACTAATTCCGAGCACCCAGAAAAGTGACAAAAGAGTGTCGAAACAATGTCGAAACAGTGTCGGGCGAGTGTCTCCCAGGGCCCGACACGTGAAAACCCCTGAGTTTCGGTATTTTTTGGGGGCTCGAAATTCTTTCTGGTAGTCAAGGCTAAAATAGGTTGGAACATCATAAAGCTGGGGGTCGAGGCGTCCCCCCCTGAGCCCAGCCCTCCCCTGGCGTTGCCCCCTCGCTCTCGGGCCTGAACTCGGCTCTCCGGCGGACGTTCGGGACGATTCAAGCACCTCCAGAACGCCCTCGGCGCGGAGCAGCCGCTGGAAGGCAGTCCGTGGCTGGACCATCGCCGAGCACTCGCGGACCTGTCTGAAGACCTCTGGCCTCGAAACTTCGTCCCCCCTTGGGCCCACCCCCCCTTGACGTCAGGTCGGGCATGTCCTCCTACAGGCGGATACTGGGAGACAAATAAGAACTATACCAAACATACTTAAGAACACACAAGAGAGCACGAAACAAATCGTCACCATATTATTTCTCGACTGTTCTTGAAAACTCTTCCTGTGGAGGGACATGCCCGACCAAACCCTGACGCTGGCCCCGACCCCGGCCTGGCTGAGAAAAGTCGAACAGCTCCACGCGCCCGTCCACGCCCCCGGCGAGCAGCCGCGTGGCGTCGAAACCGATGCAGAGGACCTCGGCGTCGGACGCCCGTCGGGGCCGGGTGCGGGGCGGGGGAGGAGGAGGAGGAGGAGGAGGAGGAGGAGGAGGAGGAGGAGGAGGAGGAGGAGGAGGAGGAGGAGGAGGGGAGGAGGAGGAGGAGGACGAGGAGGAGGAGGAGGACGAGGAGGGAGGAGGTGGGGGAGGCGGAGGAGGAGGAGGAGGGGGACGAGGAGGAGGATGACGAGGAGGAGGAGGAGGAGGATGACGAGGAGGAGGAGGAGGGGGACCCAAAACAGACTCAGCATCTATGGTCAAAGTGACCTTGATGCTCAGGCCACCCAACTCAAGTACGTTTTTCAACTGAGTGGAGCCAACGGCCCTGCGTGGAGCTCGTGCAGAATCACGATCGTGGGATAGCAGTCCTCCAAGTTGTGGGTTGCTGCTAGTGTCTCTGCTGAATAGCTCGAGCGGGCCTGCAAACGGTGAGACTTGCAGTGCGCATCGATCAAATGAAAGACAGGCTTGCCGGATGGCGTGTTTCCACGCCGTAGCAGGTTTGCCCCGCGAGTACCATAGCCTTGGACTTCGCCGTCGGCATCTCCACTCAGGCGTCGATAACATGAGCCGCTGCGCAGGTCAACTTCGCAAGAGGGAGTCATCGCTTGGTAGGCGATCTTTCGAGGGCAGGCCTGCAAATTCCTGGTAATCGAGTTCAGTCGTCGCACTTGTATATTGGTCGGTTCTTGGACGCGTTGTAGAGAGACTACATATGCCATCAACCACACCTGGGTGATTAATGCAAAAGCCAATGCACCTCTGAGGCTGACGAACATATCTGCAACCATCTTGGATGCCTTGGCGTCAGCGTCGGCGACAGTAAGTTCAGGATGTTGTATAGGACGGCGCTGTTTGATGTATTCGTCGTGGTCCAACGTAACATTGCCGTCCTCATCCTTGGTATACCTTACAGCCCAAGTGGTATATGTGTGTTTGTTGAGTGTACACTTACCCAAAAGGGTCCTCTACGCACTTGACGCACTTGTCAATGGTGTCCTCGGTGCCGGCCATATTACCATCATCGCCATGTTTGGCTGTGAGCAGATTGCCGCTCGTCTCGGACTCCTCTTCGCAGCACGTGGGTTTCAGACCGGAACCTCTCGCGGTCCTCCTGAGCTTGAGTGAGAAGGCTCTAAGTGCATCCTTGGTGCCAGTGCCTGGCTTGAGGCACTGCAAGCAGTGCTTCGACTCGTCGCAGTGCTCGAATCCTGGAAGGGATCGAAGCACCGTGGCCGATCCAGGCGGCAAAGTAAAGCACGCCACAAGTTCTTTCTCACCAGCTGCCTCAGGAAGTTCCCGGTAGGTCAGCCCTTTCAGGCAGGCCATGTTGCTGTCGAGGGAAGCAATGACCCATTGCTTCTTTCACGCTGCCGCGCTTGCGAGTAGCCTCTGGCTTGACCGCCGCGCTGTCCCTGAGAGGGTCGCCACGTCGAAAACTTCGAGGTCCATGGCGCCTCGAAGCACCGGGCGTTGTCTGATGGTACGTTCCATCTCGCCCTTCTCGTTCTTCACGAACTTGTATTTACGCGCGCACCTCGAAGTCGTGGTGTTTGACGCTTTAGATATACATTGTCGTTTGAAGCACTTGTTGTCGAACCATGTCTTGAGCTCCGTGAATAGGGCCTTCGATGCTTTCTCGGGATTCGCCTGGATGTCAACTCTCGCGAGGAGGTCGTCTTCTTTGACGACCGCGGCTCGCTTTGCAGCGGCGGTGACATATACTCGCATGGTGGTCGCACGGTCGACATCTAATATCCTGTGCTGTTGTTCGGATAGGACTACTTTTGACATTTCTGCCGTGAAGCAGAAATCTACATATTGTCCGTCTTCGTCTGAGTCCAACCCGCATCTGCAATCTCCGACCGCGTTGCATGGTGGGAAGTGATGCGTCTCCTCAATGTAGGCGTCGTGTGGGCGCCCCCGCTTAGGCAGGTGCCCCCGCTGTTTTTCAGCCACAGTGACCAGCGCGCTGTTGTCAGGAATCACGTGCGCGGGTACCGCGAAAAGGTCCCCTAGTGGAGCTGCCTCCAATAATTCCCTTTTATCGTGTAGTTCTGCCGAGGGCGTGCTTCCATGATCCGCCTCCGATTCTTCAGATTTCATAGAAAGTCGCCCATCTTCCTGCGGTGGTTCGGCGTCTGGGGCTGCTCCGGCGGTTCCGCCTTGTGTCGGTATATCCACCAATTCCTCCAACTTTGTCATGTCTTGGTCACAGCCCGCTTGAGGTTTGGCAGCCTTCAGGCACTGAGTGATTTTCGGATTTGCTGATCCAGTTGTATCATGGATTTTGAGAGCGGTGCCTTCTGCTTCATACTAGTGAAACCCTGGATTCACATCGTTGTCATAGTGGGCCAATGTGCAACTGTCAACGTAAGCCACCGGAGGTAGTTCGTGGATACCCCTGGCCAACCTAGCAGAAGCTACGTTCTCGATGCGGAAAAAAAGGTTCTGATAAGGTAGTGTAGCGCCAGATGTACCTTAGGAGATAGTCGGCTTGCACTTGTCATCTGAAGCGCCCCCTTCTTGGTCGGATCATAGCCAAATGTCGCGGCAGGTCTCCCCGCAGGTAGACGGGCTGCGAATGTCAACGCCATCCGTAGTGCAATGTTGTCGGAGCCGATCTCCCTGGCTATCTAAGATTCGATGTAGAGTAAATATCGTGCATCGCCGTATTGTACTTGAAGATCGCGGCTCACCACTCGAATGATGACTTGACCCCTGTCGGGGTCATTCCTTGCGACCAGGAACGGGCCTTTCCAACCTTCCCAGTCGTCCTTCGTAGTTGTGGGGCGATGATAGTCAACCGAACCTCCTTCACTGTAGTAGTGCTGACCGGTGATAGTTGTGTTAGTGCGTAATGCACGATGGGTCTTGGCTACTGCAGAAGCCTGTGTGATGGCTTCAATGCGTACCTTACGTATCATCTGCTCTCGAGACTGATCCGACGTTTCCGTCGGCTGTTCGTGGCCCGGAACAGGCAGATCAGGCGTTGCATGGAGACACCTCGTTATAAAAAGGTGACTGCGTTGGCAGCAAACAGGGCTTCATGCAGTAGTCGCGTAAACACAGGGGGTATGCCTAACCAGTTGAGTTAAGCTTCCATGACGTGAAATCGATGGCGTAGCATGCCATCTCTGGCTTCGATCGTCGTAGTGCGTTGTCCACGCGCGCGCGTCCTCAGCTCAGTGCCTCTTGCCTTAAGGACTGCTTTCGCAGCGTCGTGGTTACCCCCCCCCCCATCGGAGTAAGAGTTCCTTGGCAGGTCCGCGTTGCATCCGGCACTGACGGTACGCTTCAAAGATACTGGTCATTGTCTTAACCGGTATCTCAATTCCAGCGGCATCGCAAATGCAATGATCGATGCTGTGCAATATCTTATGTTTTTGTTTGTCAAGCATGAAATCACATTCAACTTCTTCGTTGAGCTCGCCAATCAATGTAGTAGATGGCATGCCCGCGCGCCCAGGCTTGGCCCAAGCCCTGCACCCCCGACATGCGTCGCAGACACCCTTGATCAGGTTGAGCCTGACGTTGTCCAGACCTGCCTTGGTTAAGATGGGTCTCGTCTTAGGTTCTTTCGCATGGGGCCAACGCAAGTGTAGCTACCGCAGCTCGCGTGTTGCCGCGCTTGGGTCAAGCCTTCGTAGATTTTGCAAGCTGATTTGCACGTCGAACCTTGACCAGTCTGGAAGTCGTGGGCGCGTGGCAGGGTTGCCCGCAAGTGGCGGTGGAGGTGGATCTCCCCCCTGCCGTCGACCACGTCTGACTCTAACCTGTGGCAGTCGGATGCGGTCATCCGAACTACCCGTTCCGCTCGAGGCAGGCTGCCCCGCAACAGATTCAGCAGCGTGTCTGCCTACTGTAATGTCGTGGCTGCTGGCGCCAGCTGTGGGGCCAGCTCTAGAGCCGGGTCTTGGTGCTCGTAGTCGCACAAGTGGTGGTGCGGCTTGCGCCTCGGGGTGGTGCTGCTGGTTCGGCAGGGACCGGTGGTGCCTGTCCGCGGTTGTCGGGCAGTTTCCAAGGTTTGGCAAACTTGCATGTGCCAGGTGCCCGTATGTGTCCAGGCTTGTTCTGGCCGTAGTTCTTATTGCAGCTCGGACATCCCCAATGGTAGTCTTCCTTATCACACCACCTGCAATGCTTCGGATTTCTGTCATATGATAGAGAATTCGCGTTAACATTATCTGCTCATGCAAGACATCCTCACCCTCCCGAAAAAGGTCTCATGATCGACCCGTCGGGTTGCCGAGGGATAGCTGGGTCGTCCAGATCAAACCCCCTCACGTTGGTGACAAGCACGGTGGAGGAATAAGGGTGACCACAAAAGGGATCACGGTGCACTTGAAATAGATCGTGTGCGATCTGAACTGCGACGACAAAAAGAGACTGCATGCCGATGCATGTTGATGATGGCCAACGCATCGTTTTCGTTCAAAAGGTGCGAGTAGAAGGCGATGGTTGGCCATGATCCTGGCTTGTTTCCGTATCAATACCCCATGGGAATCACGTGAACCAGTCGTACCTTGGTCCATGTTCACTTTGCAAGTGCCCGTGCGTTTGGCCAATGTGGTCCATGGCGGTATCTGATCCACCCAAATACCCACTGGTTGTTTTCGCAAGTAAAACCGTCGAAGGTCATTTTGACGTATGGCAGCATTTCTAACTTGCAGTGTGGAAGGTCTTCTTGATGGTGTTCACGCCATGTATCATAGTTGCCTCGGGAGTTAGAATAGGAAGGTCGTCCAATCGTTCTGCAGTTGGGTTGCAGTATGACAGCGCTGACGAAGCACACGTCTAAGTAATGCATCGCTGCGTCCTGGACATCCTTGTTTCCAAGGTCAACATATGAGCGATTGTTTAGGTTTCCTCCAGAAGACAGACCTCGACTGAATGCAAATTGCGATGTGCCCCCACTTCCTCCACGCAATTCCAACATATCAACCTTGTCGTGTCGTCCATAGCATGCCGTTAAGATTACGGAAAGCACATCTGCATGTGTATCAGCAGGTAGACCCGCAGGTAGCGCGATGAAGGTTTCCTGTCCATCATCCCTCTCCGTGTCGGAGTCAAGGGGGACATCGATATAGTAGACGCTACATCCGAGACCCTTTAGGCCGTCACCGCTGTCATCGTTGCCTTCTTCGACTAATTTGGGTGTCTTGCGTGGCTCGATGCCCGCTTCCTTGTCGGCGTTCTGCTTTTCTTTTTGTTTGATTCGGGCATCCGTCGGTCGTGCTGTCTGTCGCTCAGCATCGGGTGATCTGAGCGTCGGAGATTCGGGGATCGAGGGGGGCAAGCGGCCGCGCTCAATCGAAGAGTGGGGAAGACGATCGTCGTCGACGATCGCAATTCGCCTTGGGCGTGGTCGCTGGTCCTCTTGTCCGGTGAGAACCGGTTCTGGCGGTTCCCGATATAATCGAATCCGAATGTTTGTCACACCATTCGGTAACGGTGCATTGTCATTGTGCCCGATAGGCTGGTCCTGGAATGAGCTAACTTTATGCACTTTCCTGAGGTGTTTGAATGATTCTGACGTTAGCTCCTTTTCGGCCTTCCAACGGCCCAAGAGGTTTTCAAGATCTCCCCAAGACCACCCAAGAGGCCACTAAGACGGCCCCCTGACGGAGAGACCACAACGACGACCCAGAGACGACCCAGAGAGGGATGGCCTCCAAGACGGCCAAGATGGCCCCAAGAGAACCCAATATAGCCGCAAGGTGCCTCCAAGACGGCCCAGTATGCAGCCATGAGGGCCGACGAAGCCAACATCATGCAAAATCACTGACTCTCCCAAGGTGGTTGCATGATTTTGGCATTTGCTCATTTTCAGCTCTCTGACAACTCAAGCTGGCCGTAGAGGGCACCAAAATGGCCCCGAGAGCGCCTAAGAGGCTTCCGAGATGGCCCGCTGAGGGCCCGAGGGACGGCCCTGAGAGGGCCCCACGACGGCCCAGGACACTTCCAAGACATTGCCTACAAGACGGCCCTCAAGCGCTCAAAAATAGCCCCAAGTCAGCCCAGTAAAGGCTCCCACGGCGGCTTCCGACGGGGCCAGGCGGGCGGGGAAGGCCTCCAGACGGCCCAAGGGCCTCCCTAGCAGCTGGACCTCCCTGCGGGGTGGGAGGCGCCGCCAGGGAGGCCCAGCGCCTCCAGCGCCGCCCCAACGCACGCCGCGCGCCTGGGAAAGGGGGGGGGGGCAGCGCCGACGTCTTCTGCAAACCTGAGATCACCCCGGGTCACCCGGAGGGGCGCGAAATGATCGCGCGTTGCGCACCACAGCGGCCTGGGCCAGATATCGGCGAGAAAGGATTGCCCGTCTCGCGCACGGGCGGCGCGGGGCGCGACACCTGCGCGGACCTCCAAAAGTGTGAGTGTATGATGTCCAGTCTTCCTCGAGAGAAGGCTCGACTCTGCTCGGCTCGTGCCGTAGGCAGTGGCAGCCCCTGGGTGGGCATACTGGCAGATCAGCACATGCATTAGGTCGGGCATGTCCTCCTACATGTGAATTTTAAAAGAAAATCAACCATAGCATAACATACTCAAACATGTGAAAATACATACATCGTCTCGAGACTATTCGCTACTAGGTTTGAATCTTCCTCCTGTAGAAAAGAAGGGAGACGGGGTCGAGGGGGTCAGACCCGAGGGGGCTGATGTCGTGCGAATGAGACGCCGAGGGCATCCGTTTTGCAGCCTGGCGAGCTTGACTCACACTCCCAGCGGAGGAGGAGGCGGAGGAGGAGGCGGAGGAGGGGGAGGAGGATGAGAAAGAGAGAGGAGGAAGGGAGGAGGAGGAGGACGAGGAGGAGGAGGAGGACGAGGAGGAGGAGGAGGAGCACGAGGAGAAGGCTTTTTTTTTTTGGAAGGAGGCGGAGGAGGAAGGAGTGAGGAGGAGGAGGAGGAGGAGGATGAGAGGAGGAGGCTGGAGAGAGAAGGAGGCAGAAAGGAGGAGGAGGCAGGAGGAGGAGGAGGGAGGAGGAGGAGGAAGAGGAGGAGGAGCGAGGGAGCAGGAGAGAAGGGAGGAGGGAGGAGGGAGGGAGGAGGAAAGAGGGAGGAGGGAGTAGGGAGGAGAGGGAGGAGGAGGAGGAGGAGGAGGAGGAGGAGGAGAGGAGGAGCAGGGAGGAGGAAGGAGGCGGAGGAGAAGGAGAGGAGTGATGGAGTAGAGAGGAGAGGAGGGAGAGGAGAGGAGGAGGAGGAGGCGGAGCGAGAGGAGGAGAGGAGGAGGAGGAGGAAGGAGGAGAGGAGAAAGGAGGAGGAGAGGAGGAGGAGGAGGAGGAGAGGGAGGAGGGAGGGAGGGAGGCGAGGAGGGAGGAGGGAGGAGGGAGGAGGGATTAGGGGAGGGGGAGGGAGGAGGGGAAGGAGGGAGGAGGGAGGAAGGAGGGAGAGAGGGAGGAGGGCCAGGAAGGGAGGAGGGAGCAGGGATGGAGGGAGGAGGAGGAGGAGGAGGAGGAGGGAGGAGGAGGAGGGAGGAGGTGAGGGAGGAGTGAGGAGGAGGAGAGGAGGAGGAGGAGGAGGAGGAGGAGGAGGAGGAGGAGGACGAAGGGAGGAGTAGGAGTAAGGAGGAGGAGGAGGAGGAGAGGAGGAGGAGGAGGAGCAGGAGAAGGAGAAGAGGAGGAGGGAATGAGGGAGGACGGGAGGAGGGAGAAGGGGGAGGGAGCGAGAGGGAGGAGGGAGAGGAGGAGAGGAGGAGGAGGAGGTAGGAGGAGGAGAGAGGAGGAGGAGGAGGAGGAGAAGGAGTTTGGAGGAGGAAAAGATGATGAGAAGGAGGAGGAGGAGAAGGAGGAGGAGGAGGAGGGGGAGGAGGAGGAGGGGGAGGAGGAGGAGGAGGAGGAGGAGGAGGAGGAGCAGCAGCAGCAGCAGCAGGAGCAGCAGCAGCAGCAGCAGGAAGAGAGAGGAGGAGGAGGCGGGGGAAGGAAGAGGAGGACTGTCTTTACTTTTGCCATTCGCCTGTCGGGGGCTTCGACCTTCGGGAGCCCAGGAGACTTCTGGAGACCACCTCTCCCGGATCTAGGCGTCGTCGACAAGCACGGAAACGCATCCCATGGCGCAACCAAGATCGTGCGAAAGATCTGGTGCAATCCGTGGCACAAACAAAATGGCGGCGGCTGGGGATCTCGTGGGAGGCCCATGGGAGGATGGATGGGCGAGGAAGGAGAGGACTGAGAGGGAGCATGAGGATGAGGATGAGGATGCTGATGATGAGGATGATGATGCTGATGATGATGCTGCTGCTGACGATGAGGAGGAACAAGACAAAGAAGACGATGAGGATGAGGCCTAAGACGAGCAGCCCGACGGGGCCCATAGTACAGTCATCGGCCTGACCCAAGGAACTATACATAAGGAACGAAGCCTCTTTTTTTCAAGGAATAACGCATAAGGAACGATCTATAAGACATAACGCATAATGAGCGATAAACAACATATGTAAACCTAAGGAACGACCGAACCCCTTTTGAAAAATAAGCGTTCCTTATTCAAGCCGCTTACTATAATTAGTCCGCAACTTCCGCGGGTCCGCGTCCGAAGAATACGCGCCGTCTGAGCTGCTGGGCGGTGGGGCCAGAACGGCGAGCTTCTACCCGCGGGCCCTTGAAAGTCGTCAATGACTGATTGGCTTCTGCTGTCCCTCGAATCGCGCTTGAGCGTCCACGATCTGCTCCAAGTTCTCCCAGGAGATTTCTGGATTTGGCTCGGCTCATCTGGAGTTTACTCGCCTTGTGTGCATCTGACTTCCCTCGACTTATCTGGCCTGATCCCCTCGAGCCGATCGACGAAGAGAAGTCGTCAAATCGTCAGGTCTTTGAGAGCAGAGTCCCACTTCCTCAGAACGGTTCTTTCATCCCTGGTCGCATTGCTGTGCTTGCTCCGGGGGAGAAAAGGGTCAAGACCTGTGGGGGGCGTGGATAAACACAAAGGAACCATGCATCGGAGGTCCGGGTCAGTGCCCAAGCCATACAGACTTACCTGGACTGCTGGCTAGAACTCCCAGGCGTCCCAAGGCGGAGGACGGGGAGGCGCCGACTGCTGGCCAGAACTCCCAAGCGTCCCAAGGCGGAGGACGGGGAGGCGCCGAGTGAGGGCTACTCTGGAACAAGGGCAGCAGCTCGAGAAGTGCGGATTCTCTTGCTCCTCCTGCTCCACCTCCCTACTCCCCCTGTGCTTCCCAACCCTCGTCTCCACTCCCTCCTCCGCCCTCCTTCCCGCCCTCCCTCTTCTCCCCTCCCTCCCTCCCCCCCTTCCCCCTTGCCTCCTTTCCCGCCTTTCCTCCCTCCCTCCTCCTCCCCCCCCCCCTTCCCAGTGTATGCTGTCACGCTCTCAGCGATATGTCCGTCTCGACTCCGATCCCTCGAGCGGCCACCCTCCTCCTCCTCCTCCTCCTCCTCCTCCTCCTCCTCCTCCTCCTCCTCCCTCCGCAGGCCCCCGAAGGCCCCCAAAGACCTCCAGAGGCCCACAGGGCCACCAAGCCGCCCCAGGAACCTCGATCCTCCACCTCCCCCTGCACCCTCCTCCCACACTCCTCCCCCTCACTGCCTCCTCCCCCCTCCCCGTCCGGGACTCCAAAAAGGTGTGCTGCAATCGTGCGCCGACTTGAGGAAACTGGCAACACATGCTGGTAACAAATCAAGCCGCGGACAGCGCGGACATTAGAGATGCACAGAGCCCGTAGGTCAAGAAGGGTGGCCCAGCAGAGCGCAGAATAACCCTCCCCCCCCTCTCCTCTGGCCATTGCTCGGACGTCCATTCCCTGTTTTTTTTTGGTTTCGTGCGTGGCTTTTTCGCAAATGATCAAGGATGCTCCTCGATGGTCCTCGCCGAAGGAAAAATGCACACGTCCGAGCGATGCCAAGTCCTCCTGCACCCTTTTATCCTCCTCGCCAGCGGGGCGGGCGGCGGACGTAGTCGGTGGACGTGCGGAGCGTGCAGACCTCGGAGGGAGGAGGGCGGAGGGAGGGAGGGGAGGCACAGGTGCGGGAGGGGAGAACGAGGGAGAGGAGAGAACGGGCGGGTGGGGGTGAGGCAGGGGAGGTGAGGGAGGAGAGTGCGAGGTGCGAGAGCGCAAGGATACAATCCACGCACGAGGAGGCAATGAGGGCGGGCAGCGGTCGGATATTCCGGGGCGGGGCAGAGGGGAGGGAGGGAGGGAGGGGCAGGAGAGATGAGAGAGTAGGTCACGAGGGAGGGAAAAGCGGGGGGGGGGGGGGATGGTGGAGGAGGATGCGGGAGGCACGGAGGGGACTCCTCTGGGCATCCTGCTCTGCCCGTTCCTCCCACTCCTGCTCCTGCTCCTGCTCTTGCTGCTGTTCCTCCTCGTCCTCATCATCCTCATCTTGCTTTCTCTTCCTCCTCATGCTCATTTTCCTCATCTGGATCATTTTCCTCTTGCTGCTGTCCCTCATCTTTCTCATCTTCCTCATCATTCTCCTCTTCCTCCTGCTCGTCCGTCAGCTCCTCCTCCAGTGCACGCAGCCCCCCTGTGTCGATGTTGCGCATAACACGATAAGGGGGTCTCTGTGGGATTTCCAGGTCCGCCATGGATGGCACCCGTCGGCGGACGGAGAACGCAGCAGCGCCAGGGGAAAAGGGGTGGATGTATAGGAGGGAGGGCGGGCAGGGTAGGGTGTCAGATGCGGCGCGAGAGCATGCCCAGCTCGCTTGTCCTCGCCCCCTCTCCTCTCTCCTCCCCTCTCCTCCCCTCCCTCCCTTCCTCGCTCTCCCGCCCCCTCCTCTCTCCTCCTCTCTCCTCCCCTCCCCCCCTCCCCTCCCCCCGCCTCGCCTCCTCCGTTCCCCTCCGCGCTCCTCTGGGGGCGGCGGCGCGAAAACTGCCTCCCGGCCCCTCCCCCCCCTCCTCTCCCCCCCCTCCGGCCGCCGTGCCCGCGGCCGCCTCGCCCGCCTCCCCCCCCCGTGGGTGCTCCCTCCCTCACAGCTCAGCCGTTCCCACGCACGGCCGCTGGACACCATGTCTTGTGATCCCCCTCGTTCCTCCCTCCTCCTCCTCCTCCTGCCTCCTCCTCTTTCTCTTCCGGTATTTTTCTCTCCTCCTCCTCGTTCCTCCATACCCTCCTCTGATTTCTCCTTTTCGCTTGAAGTATTTCATTATTTCTCGCCCCCTCCTCCTCCCCTCCCCCATCCCCCATCCTCCTCCCCCCTCCTCCCCATGGCTCTTACTCTCGCCTACTCCTCCTTCTGCTCCGCTCCTCCACCCTCCTCCTCCCCCTCCTCCTCCTCCCCTCCCCCCCACATTCCCCCTCCCCCTCCCCCTCGTCCGCTCCTCCCCCTCCTCCGTCCTCATCCCCGCTCCCCCTTCCCCCTACCCGTCCTAGCGTAATCTACTCCTCCTCCTCCTCGCTCCTCCTCCTTCCCTCCCCTCCTCCTCCTCCTCCTCCTCCCCCACCTTCCTCCTCCTCATCCGTCGTTTGCTCCCCCTTCTCCTCCTCCTCTTCCTCCTCCTCCTCCTCCTCCTCCTGAAACGACGACTAGTACTACTACTCCTACTACTAACATCGGAGCAAACAGTTTTCAAACAATGAGAGGTCGTTCGGAGATTCATCGGACAAAAACTACAGTCGAAGTGTCGCGAATTTCTTTGATCTAGACTGGGTGAACATGAATAACGCAAGGTGGATGACATTCTATCATGGGGGAGGGGTCACATCGAGAGATTGTAATCCCCTTCGAAATCGGTTCCACCTTCGCCCCCCTCATTCGGAGAAGCACCCGGAGCGTTTTGAGAAGAGGCATAATACATCAGTGGCAGATCGATCGAAGTGCCAGTAACCCTTGACATAGAAAGTAAGCGTTCATTTTTTCTCGCAGTCATAACGTTGACTTCGGTTCTCTTTCACGGAGACTGTTCCTTTATTCGTTGGGAGTAACGCATGTTACCTGGGGGGGGCTCAAGAGGGGGAGGCAACACTATTAAACTCGCTTTAATTTTCAAGCGCGCTTCAATTTCTAAACGCGCTTTATTTTTTGCAAGATGCACTGATTTTGGCACGCGCTTCAATTTCGAAACACTCATCAACTTTAAACACGTCCCAGATTTCAAGCACACTCCAATATTGAAACGCGCTCCAATTTTGAAGCACGCTTCACATTTTAAATACGCTTGAATGTCGAAACGCACTTCAATTTTGCAACGCGCTCTAATTTTGCAAAACGCTCCCATTTCAAAAGGCACTCGGATTTTCAAACGCGCTTCAATTTTTAAACACGCTTCAATTTTGAAACACGCTCGCACTTTGAAAGACGCCATGGTTTTTCAAGGCACTTCAAGTTAGAGTCGCGCTCCAATGTTCAATTGCGATGCACGCGCGCTTCAATATTTTGATTCATTTTCCTTATGCCGACCTGTTCTGAGAATTTGTGCAGACTTAATTAATGAAATAATCGTTTCGTCTGTGTCTGTGCTGGGCGTTTTTGTTTTCAATATGTTTGGGGTTTCCTTGCGTCGCCCTTTTCCGAGAATTCAAAGAAAAGCATGAATCAAATAGATGTTTCGGCTGTGTCTCCTCCGTGCATTTCATCGTTTTGCAATCGCCAATCTGTTCCGATAATTCACAGATATGGAATCGGCATGTCATCCGCGCGCGCTGTTGGCCGGTTTCTGTCATTATGTTTTGGGTTTCCTTGCGTCGCCCTTTTCCGAGAGTTGAGCGAAACTCATAATTCAAATGCCTGTTGCATCTCTCTCCTCCGCGTAGTTTTGCGCGCGCCAACCTGTTCCGAGAATTCGCGCAAGTGGAATGATCATTCCATTCGTGTTCGCGCTTGGCGCGCGCCCCCCCCCCCCCGGGGCCATTTCGCCCGCGCGCTTGGCCGATTTTTGTTCCATTTGTTTGGTTTCCGCGCGTCGCTCTTCTCCGAGAATTTAAGGCAAACTCGCCATTCAAAGAGCTGTTTCCTCGTGTTCTTTTCGTGATTTATATATATAATGAATGGAACAAAAACAGAAGCATCATGCAGGCGCCGACCTGTTCCGAGAATTCGCGCAATAGCGATCGTTTCATCCGCGCGCTTGGCGTGTTTTTTGTTATATATAAAAAAAACTAGCTCGGTTTCCGCGCGTCGCCCTTCTCCGATAATTCAGGAGAAATTCATTTTTCAAATGGCTGTTGCATCTGCGTCTCCTCCGCCTTTTTCTGCATTGTGTGCGTCGTTTTGCAGGCGCCGACCTCCTCCGATAATTCACGCAAATGAAATGATCATTCTATTCGCGCGGGCGCTTGGCCGTTTTTTGTGTTGATTTGGTTTCCGCGCGTTGCCCTCCCCCGAGAATTGAAAAGAAATTCGCTATTCAAATAGCTGTTGCATCTGTCTCTCCTTCGCGTTTGTTCTTGCAAACTGATGTTATTTGTTCTTTCCTCTTTTTATATTACATATGGGTTTGCAGGCGCCGGCCTGTCCCGAGAATTCGCGCAAGTGGAACGGGCATTTCATCCGCGCGTGCGTTTGGCAAGCTTTGCCCTTCGCGCGTCGCGTTTCCGCGTTTTCGCGCGTTGCTCTTTCCTGTGACTTCCGAAGCCATCGGCGGCAAGCATTGCGGATGAACGAACGGAATCAGGCACGTGAGTTAACGAGGTAACGCAGGAACAACGGAATAAAAGCCAACGAGAGGAGACGGAAGAATAACGGAATGAGACAGATGGACAAACCGAATAAAGCGCATTTGACAGACAGAATTAAACGCGCAAAGAAACGACATCAGAAACACGAGCGAATCGAAATCAAGCAGGCTCGGACAACGCCGCGAGCTCCAAATCGCAAATGATTGCACAACGCCGAGAACTTCAAACCGCGAAGGATTGCGCAACCATAAACCTTCCGCTGAGAATTAAGGAGCGCCGAGAGCAACGAAACGCAGAGAGATTGCACAACCCGCGCGATCGAAACCGCGCGGAATACAGCGCCGAATCCCAGCGGGCCGAGGAGCACAGTGCCAGGAACTCCTCGCCGCGAGGATTGCACAGCACCGCCGGCTTCGAAGCGGAGAATTGCACGGCGCTGAAGTCTCCATGGCGCGGAGGGGTTGCATGGCGCAGAAAAGGTGCTCATCGCCGAAATCTTCGCGAGATAATCTATTAGGAACTATTGCAACTACTACAACTACTGCTACTATTTCTCCTGCTGCTACTCCTGCTCCTACTCCTACTACTACTACTATTACTACTACTCCTGCTACTACGACTAGTAGTACTACTACTACTACTGCTACTACTACTACTACTACTACCACTACCACTATTACTACTACTACTGCTACAACAACAACAACTACGACTACTACTCTTGCTACTACTACTGCTACTGCTACTACTACTACTACTACTACTACTACTACTACTACTACTACTAATATTATTCCTAGTGTACTACTACTACTACTACTACTACTACAACTGCTACTACTGCTACTACTGCAACAACCACTACTACTACAACTACTACAACTATTACTGTTGTACTACTACGACTACGACTGCAAGTACTACGACTACGGCTACTACTACTACTACTGCTGCTACTACTACTATTACTACCACTACTACTACTACTACTACTACTACTACTACTACTACTACTACTACTAACGTCGTCACTGCCACCGCAGCCATCGCCGCCGCTCCGAGCGCTGTCAAAACGCCGCTGGCGCTCTGACCGGATACGGTCTCAATGTTATACGGTAGTCATACTACGCGGATCTACGCGACATTAATAGTATACGGGTGGCATTGGCTATGGGGGCCCGCGAAGCGTAAACAGTGCAACGCCGAATCCGCCTCGCTGGCCACCTAAGGCGGGCGGGCCCGTCAAAAGTGCGCAGCGACCAGGCCCTGCGTAAGTGGCTCTCCTTGCGCCAAGAGGGCCGGAGGTACTCTCCTTACATTAATAGCTCTCCTTGCATAAGTAGCTCTCCTCTACACAAGTA